TCTTTTGCACATTTTATAACACTAGATTTTTTTTTTTTTGGACATGGTTCTTGCTCTGTCATGTTGTGCTTGCAGTTGGGTCACAATATAGTCTCATGGCAGCTCGCAGATTCCTGGGCCTCAAGTGATCTCCTATCTCAGCGTTCCCCAGTGCTAGAATACAGGCATGATGTCACCATGCCTCGCGCTCTCTCTTTTTTTTTTTTTTTAAACAGAGATGGGTGGTCTGGCTCCATCTGCCTCTCAGGCGCTGGTCATCAAGATGCTGGGTTAGTTAAGGGATCTCGCTGCTCAGGGGGAACTCCCAAAGTTGCTTGGGATTCATAGCTATGCAGCACCTTTTCCCGCAATGTCAGTTTCTCGGATAATGTCTTGTGTAGCATAAATTTTACATTTTGATAAGTACAATTTATTTTGTTCCGCTTTGGTTTTGCTTTTGTGTACATCTAGAAACCACTACCTAGTTCAACGGTCTCATGGAAGATTTACGACGTTATATTATTTTTTTAAGAGTCGTATTTATATTGTTTAAGCTCTGTGACATGTTGGATCTTTGGTGTCATCCTTATATATTTATAAAATGGATGTGATGTAGGATCCAGACTTTCATTTTTATTTCCAGGTGTAGCTATACAGGTTTTCCTGCAGCCATTTGTTGAAAAATCCTGATGCTTGCTCTCCCAATTGAATTGTCTCTGACATTTTGTTGAAAGTCAACTTGACTGCATAGAATGTAATTTATTTTCTGTGAGATCTCATTATTATATTCCAGATGTATACTGACCTGTACTGTGTATCCTTATGCAATGTATCAGCGTATTGATCTTGATTTCACTGCTCGCTCTCATAGTCAAGTCTTTAAATCAGGTACAGTATGAGTCTTTTCCAATCATTCATTTCTTTCTTCTGTGATTGTTGATTGCATTAATTAATGTTCTCCAATATATTAAATAGAAGTTGGGCCACTAATTTGAGTGTCTAGGATTACAGGTGTGAGCCACCACACTTGGACGTGATATTCTAATTTTTATCATTTTTCTGCATTTATTATCTGACATATAAAGAACTTTCTCTTTTTAAGTATTTGTATAGGAAATATAGTTCATACAATAAATATAGTTTATACAGGAAAAAATAATAAATTTATATGCTAGCTATAATTTTTACTTTGAATATCACTATACACTATGGATTTTAATATATTTGGTATTTTTAATTCACTTCAGTCATCATTCAGTATGATGCTGAAATTGTCTTATCTTTGCCAGATGGAGCTTCTTCAAGTTGGCTCCCGGGTTCTTCTGACACAACCTTAACAGTGTTTGATACCTTCCTTACTTTTGGGTATGAAAAGATATTTCAAGTTCATCTTATATATTTCCCACACCATCCCTGGAGTCAACTATATCATGAAGAAGTTTTGGTTCCTTTTACTGGGAAATGGTTTTTAGAGGGACTCATTGCTATAGGACTGACTGTTGTTCCTAGTCCTTTTCAGTGAAAAGAGCTAGGAAATTCATATTTTAAAAGAGAAAATTACATCTTGAGAATATATCAATGCTTCCAATTTAAATATAAGACTATTTATTGGAAGTTTAATTCT